GGACTGAGGAACAATTGATCAGGGATCTCCCTCCCCCTCCCCCATTTTAGACTCCTTGAGAGTCTTAATCGCTGTAAAATATGTTTTAATTAAATTTTATTAATATAAACTGATGGGCTGTATTGCCCAAAGTTATATTCTTATAAACTATACCAATTGTCAACACGACACACAATATGTAGGAAAGTGGATTGAAACATAATTTGCAAACGTGAGTACTTGAATTCTGTCTTTAACTTTAGCATAAAAAGGAACGGGCTGAAAAAAGCTCCTTTGCGTACACCTGTTATTTTCAGTTTATCTTATCATTTGATAAAATTCATGTCAAAATTTCAAAAAAAAAAAAAAAAATTAACGAAGAAGTCTTTTAAGAGAAACTTTCACTCATGGAGAAGAGAATACTAGTATGTGCTTGAATTTATTGTTTGTTGCGATTCTTAGTTTTATTGGCTATAAGATATCGCACGATTTTTAGGCTTTGTACAAGATACATGTATTTTATTTTTAAAGATTTTTTCCTGATTAAATAACATTTAATATATGAAACTCCCATCCAACTCCCACTCTATTCCCACTATCTCCATATTTGAAACAGTTCAAACAAACAATAACTCTTGTCCACTCGATGGATTTAATAGATGCAATGTGAACTGTATTTCTCATAATTTTATTTTGGCGTAAAGTGCACCTTAGTCTATTAAAATGATAGTACATGTAAATGTAATTGAAACCTCTAAGAATGAAACCAAGTATTTAACGGAAATTATGGCAAAAAATAAAGTTTCTGTAGGTACATAAATCTAGCTCAAGCGATCAATTATGTATTTGACAAGTTTACCATAATCTAGACAAATCATAACAACTGATAACAGATCTTGTTTGTGAACTTTGAATATCTAAACTTAAATATTATTATTTTTTTTTATTATTTAAACGAATTAAACTTCAAAGGATTGGACAACAGTCACTGCCTTCATTAGTTATATCCATTATTTGAATATTTCTTGAAAAAACGCGAATGTTGTGACACAAACGTGCGTTTTTAAACTTATAGTTGGTCCTTTAACCTTGATTTTTGAATTACAAATATATTTTCAAACACACTTTAAAAACATACTTTCAATCAAAAACTGAAACGAAGAGCCACTTTTATGGAAAAACTGAGATGCAAAAAATGTTATATAAAAATGAACGTTCTATCACGTAAATTTTAAGTTTACTAGGTTGAAGTAAATGCAAACTTTACTACAATATGATAACTTTATCATGTATATTTTGCATTTAGCTCCACGTTGCACCATGTAAATTCAAAATTTACAACTTGTTAGTTCTAATGAGAGAGAGAGAGAGAGAGAGAGAGAGAGAGAGAGAGAGAGAGTGAGAGTTCTCCCTAGATATGAAATATCTTACCGTGCAATGCAGAGAGACAGAACGTAACAACTTTTAAAATAAAAAATAAAAAAACAATGTTGCACAGAAAAATCTACTGTGTATGATGCATTGATATTCCCTCTTTAAAAAAAAAGACCTTCAAATGCATATAACTTCTAATAACGTGTATTCATGAATATCTTAGCTTTCTTTTCGATGAAAATTTTCTCTTTTATTTACAAATTAAAATATATTCTAACAGTTTTCATTCCCATGGGTAAATCTGTATAAATTATTTGACGATGAAAAATTTGTAATACGAATTTGAAGTTACAAAAAGGCTAACAAATCTAGAAACAAGCTTATTGCCACAAAGTTACCTGCCCTTTATCTCCATTATTCAGGTTGCATAATATTGTTCTCGAAATTCTACATTTATAAAATACCACATAATTCATACCCATGGAGAAAATAAAGATGGAAAAGCAAATCAAGTACATGTATAATTAATTATCCAGATGAATGTGAAATTTTCTTTATTGGTCATCTTCACTCTCTTTCACTGTGGTTTAGGTTATAAGCTATAGACCCACATCGTAGAAACGAGTTTGACCATTATTTTAATTTATCGTGTATCTATGGCAACAAGTGACTTTGAAATTTAAAATTGTAGAAAAAAAATACGGACTATCGATGTGATCTTGTCTCATATTAGACCAAAATAATGTCTCAAATACATGAAAGAATAAAGATTTATATTTGCATTTGTAACTTACATAGTTGATTAGTCTCATCGAAATTATCTGTACATAAATTATCTTTCGTGTCATACCTGATGAGCAAAAAGTATTTTAAGTGTAAATATTTGAACTGATCATAAATACAAACTGTTTTTGTATATATATATATTCCCAAAACAAACCAAATAAACTACTAATTTCTTTTTGTCAATTAAAAACAAAACAAGTTCAAAAATCATCTCATTATGCACAGAACCTTTACAGTGCATTATTCATACATTGATAAATACTAGTGCGTATATTCATATTTAAAAAAAAAACATTCTAGATGTCATATTCCAAATTCATTTTTATAAAGTGTTTTGTCAAAATAGTAAAAAAGAATAAAAATTCTAGACAAACCATTTAGTGATTTAATTGCATTAGCATAAATCTGACCGAAACGCATCGATATAAATTATATGTGATCGGAAAAATTAATTTCCTTTGTTTTGATCTCTGTGGTAGGGAAATATTTCATTCTTCGGCAATGTTATTTTTATGGTGTTTTATTAGAATAATATTTGCTTCATTACTGCAGTTTAAATATTGTTTTGCACCCACTGTCAACGAGACTTACATGTATATATTTATCTGCCAGAATTGCATATTTTTATCTTTCAGAAACATCATGAAATATCGTAAAATGACTCCGATATTAAATATAGGGGAGGGTTCATTAATTTAAGATTCGCTTTTTTGCAGAACTACATCCCATTTAAAACAATATCCTCTATTGAATTTGTAAAAACCATCTTCAACCATATATTCAGAGATAAATGAATGGAATTTTTTTTCGAAATTTGACTCAAATTTATTTTGTGTGTGATGAATTTTTATTTGTTTATTTCGGGTGCATTATTTGCTTAGAACATTCCAAAATTCCATTATTTCCAAGAAGAAAGCTGGGTGAATTTTACATTAAAAAGTGATAAAAGCGTATTAAATTATTTAAATGATTAATTCTTTTTTAATTCATCTTTTATGGCAGAAACTTCAAAAATAAATACAATGTGAAATATTTCTGCGTACTGTTAAGCATTTAGTAATTATAAATTCAGCGAATCACAGCCTTAAAATTGAATTTAGCATATTTATTTAGAGAGGTTAAAATTAAAACACCTTAAAAAGATGAATGATTACCTTTTTAGATTTAACATTTATCATTTTTAAATATAACACTTCATTTTAGTCCAAAAATTCTTCGTCGCATTAAAAAGCAAAACGGGAAAATGTATCAGCTATATAATTACATGCGTTGTTGCATAAATTCACTCTAAATACTAGTATTTGATTCATTAAAGTTTGTAGAGTATTTAATGCAAGGAAAAAACCCACTTGATTTAACCAAGATAAATAAAAATAAAAATTAAGCATATACATGCAATCTTTTCCTAATTTAAACAGAATCAAAAACATCTTACAAAAGTTTTTTTTATTAATCTTTTTTTTAAACTATTGCCTCAAACATTTGGCTAAACTTAATTCTTAACTTTCAGATCTCCATCTAAGAAGTTTTCATTGCTGAAAACTCAGAGGATGTATATATTTTTTGGTTTGGGTGAGGGCTACACCTGAATTAATTGTCTTTATCTCATTCATCATATCAACAATCTTTTTGTCTTTTAAGTTGTAATACAAATGTGTATATGAATTTCAAATGCACAGCCTTGGTTTTTTTTAATGATTTGAGGCAGAAATATATTTAATAGCTCTTTTTCCGACATAAATATCAAGATTATCAATCAATGAATGTGGAAAGATAGAATATAAGATTGCATGTATTGTGCTGTAGATAAGTTAGACGACCTAAGTTGAGAGTGTGTTTGTGGTACATATCTTCCAGAAATATGTTCTTCCCTTCGAGCGTTGATTGATTATAGATATAAATCATAATATTTCATACCCCCGAGATAATAAATTTTAATTCAACTACGACACCTGAACTCTGCGACTTGAATAAAGATCTTTCAAGTTGTGAGAATTTTGACATCGACATATTTTATTTTGACGCATAATAAAGCAGCCAGCGACAAGAAAACCGGTTTTGGATTCCTTCATGTAAAATTTAAAACCTATAACTGTCAACAACAAAACCCCCGACTTCGACGCATCTGCAAGAACGAAGCAACCCTTTCTTATTTATTTCCGTATTCTTGTGGTTTGCTGTTCTGATTTTATAAAGAGTGTTGAAGTCGTGCCTACCTCTTTATTGTATCCGGAAATATTCTTAGTTACACAATACAAAATTTGAAACTAAATGTTGATGTACCGTTTTCATGTACATGATGAAAAATACCCTCTAAAATAGATGCCGAAATGTAAGGCAATCATTGTAAAATCCTGCCGATCGTAAGCCGAAACAAGCACATGCAGAGTCTGAGAAGTTTTTGTGTATGCAGACTTATTGAATATATATGTTGCACGGGCTTGTTCATTTCAGCACAGCTGCACAGTTAACGAGATAGTGCATGCAATTCATCGTCAGAATGGAAGCATAAAATTATATTTAAAGTAAAATTGTACCGCAGAGTATGCACAAAGGATTCTAAGAAATTAAATGTTAACCGGTCATACCTTAGAAGTATACATCATTATTATTACGTGCTTGTTCTAGAGTGAGAAATAAATATTTTATAATTCTAAAGTTCAATTCGTTCTTCCTCGAAAAAAAAATAGAGATAGGTAGAACCGTGCACGTTTTGGTACAACGATCTCTATGCGCAACCAGATCGGTCAAACCGTGCCTTGTCACACGGTACTGCGGCCGGAACATTCCGAATGGGATACGTGTGATGAAATCTGTCAAAATGGTTGTTCAAGTGACCGATAAACTTTGAAAAATCTCACCTGACGTTTTGTCACAGCCAGACACGCGCAGCGGACCTCATTGTTTTAAAATCCCTACATCCAACGAATCCCAGGACACACAACTAGAGAGACATTTCAACCAAACACATGGCTTAACGGATAATCTGTTGAAAAATCCACTCCGTTTCAGCTTCTAAATCCTACTTGTTTCAGTATAGATTTGGTCGTTATATTTTAGCGAATGAAAACACAAGTCGAGAGATGAAACAGCAAGATACATTTATTTTCATGCTAAGTATATTTAAATTAATCGCGTATATGCAACCACTTTACTGGAAATTATAAAGTAAAATGCAGTACCAATAAATTTGAAACGACACTTTAACACGCTTAATCGCATTCCATCTGAATACAAACAAACCTTTATGGAAATTGTTATATTCAAATCAATGAAATTTTATTTGCAAATCCTTTTTTGAGACAAGTATTGAATAGAAATTGCATTTTATTCAATGTTTCGATTAAGCTGTCGATAATAGAAATCGTATGTTAAGTTATTCACTTCGGGTTCTCATTATTGAAATCCTATAGCTTTCCCTAGGTAAGATTTATTTAACGTAAGATTTAATCAACTCTATGTTAAATCACATCTTAAAATAGACTTAATTCTACACAAGGTGACGTCATTGATTACTGTACACATGTTTTAGATACGTATGCACGATGATCTAATTCTTAGAGTTATTCAATTATATTTTTTCCCACAAAAATGCAGAAGGTTACGGAGGTCCAGTGTTTTAAATTGCATTTTCCGCTGTGTGATTACAATGAATTCTCATATCTATCACAGTCTGGTTGGACTGTTTTCATAAAATGAGGAATGTAATTCTGTGAATATGCTGAGAAGCTAAGGCAGAAAGTAAAACGTGAAGATAACGAACAGTGATCAATCTCATAAATCCATGCAGTAAACAGACGAAATAAAAAGTGAATAAAAACTATTTAGGAAAAAATCCAGTATTAACTCACTTGATAAAATCATTGTAAGTTTTCACCTTAAATCTATTTTGTCAGATCAGAAACAAGAGCCCGTGGATATTTTATAACGCAATTCTATCACCGATTTGCTTTGCTTTCACATAAAAAAAAAATAAATCACAAAACGATTGTTTATTGTCTTGATTTAGATACAGAAATTACGATGCGATTCATAGAATACAAATTCCAAACGCCATCATTAGTTTATCGTACTAAGTTAGGAAATCCAAACGGTATGCAGAAATGCATGTATTGGTTTTGAGTATATTATGCTTTGATATCCATTATTTTTCAATAAAATTTACTATAATTTGTTGACGGTGCGACCGTTAGGACGAGCGCAGCTACTTATTCAGATCTAATTTAGATCGGGCTCGATCGTCATTTGGTGCGTGTAGACTCTGACGTCACATGACGTCTTATTTTAAGTTGCATTACCAAACCTAAACCTGAACATTGTTGACTTTAATGAAGAACGTTTTATTTACTATTTATCTGCCATATATCCATTAAATCAAGGCGGGTATATTTTATTTTTTTTTAACTTTTGTTGGTTTTCTCGCGAGAACGTAGCTTAAACAAGCGATGCATTGTGGGTCCAGAAGTTACTGCGGAAAAAAAGTCGTTTGGATCAATGTGTAAGTCCGAATTTTCTCTTCGCCCTGGCGTTGTCGTTAGAGCTCGCATTGCGAGCGGCGCTTCGCGCCGCTCGCTGCGCTCGCTAATAGTTTTTAGATTGCTTTGAGCATGATTTATTTTAACAATTTTTACTACCTAAGAACGAGCGCAGCAAAGCGAACTTTATAGATTAATATGTTAGAACAGAGGATATTCGAACTGAAATCTGCACAATCATCACGAAATCATCTTATAGACGCTACCACAATTCTATGCAATAATGGTGAATGGCAGTACCGCAGTTATCGTGAAGATTTAGAACTTGCAGAAAGCTTAACGGAAACAAAAAATAGATGCATCTACTCTTAAAAAATAACCAATGCCTTTCAGTATAAAAATTGCAATATTGAGACTCTGTTATAAAAGTGCAAATACTCGTAATATATGACGAAACGTGACGTCACAGTCACTGAATGAGTCCGACCTTTAGCCAGTAATAAATACAACTTCGCTCACCCCAACGGCCGCACCCTGAATCATATTAACAGATATTGATAATTTCATTACCTATATCCAAAATTGATTTCTTCTGTTTTTTCATGAACTTTGATACAGCAATGCTATTTTCACTTAATTTCCTGACTTTTTAACCATGGTCCAGAATGTATTGTCTGTCTCCGTATGTATTCTTAAGGGGGCCGACTGGGGTTTTCATTGCGCAATACTTCGCGCAGCATAGTAAAACAAGCGTATTTACTCTTTTAAAGGAACTATTTTTACATAATTTATAAAAATTAACAAATTTAGGAAATCTAAGGTTAAAAAATCTAATTACGTTTTTAAATAACTGATTTTTTGAACGTTTTTTCAAATAATGGGTATACAGACGTCGTAATAGTGTGTTTTTGACGTTATGAATAACCGGAGTTCTTTCAGCGGGGTCATTAATTATGCCATAAAATAAAAAGTATAAAATATATGCTCTTGAAATTTTAAACATAGGAAATTGAGAATCTAGCAATCATTTTTATTATTTTTTGTGTAAATCTGTGGTATCTGTCATGTTTTGTTGTACTCCATAAAAACAGGAAAATATGAATTTTGACATTTTGAGATGCTCCCTCTGGAAACCAGACGGTAGAATTTTGTGTTTCACGCTTTCCGTCTCGATCACTCCTAGAGTTAAATCCCTTATATCATTTTTCACTGCTGGAGGTAATAACGTGCTATCGAAACCGGAAAAGAAATATTCCTTTAAAAGCAAGTCTGTCTTTTGAAAAGATAGGTAAGCTAGCTATCATGTTGTAAATTTTTTATTTACTGGGTAGCAGAATTTACACGATAACTATTTTGCATTGCCTCTACCCAGTAAATCCAAAATTTACAACTTTACCTTGGCCATAACTTTTGTGTGGTTGGTGCTAGGGCTTTAATATTTCATGCAAAAAGAAAATTTACGATAAGATTTCATAGAACTTACAGAATGAGGTAAATATTGCAAATTGTACGGAACAATTGTGTCATACCACATGAGTGAATTAAGTGATTATTGGATGGCAAATGATCATATCGAAAGAGTATTTTTTTTTCTCCGTTAGACTCAGTAGAAAATCCGTCGTATTTTGAGGTTGCGTCGCCTGGTCAAACCATTGCCGACAAAACATTAAACAATTTATTAAATAATAAAACTTATGATTTATAGTTTATTCTATACATAGAAAAGATGATGCTAACTACATGTGTGAAAATGCATTGATGTACCACAAGCGGTTTTAATTTTATGGAGCTAGTCCACGAACTTTCTGATAAACCCTCGTATATACTACAAGATATTTATAACAGTAAATTTCTTATGAAAACTATCTTGCTGTGTATCTGATGCAATAAATAACAACTAAATTCTAAACTAATTAGATCCGTGTTTTAAAGCCATTTGTATCTCCAATATGATATTTTTCAAGGGCCTTATATAGTTCTGTATTACCCCTCTATGTGCTACATATATCACCTTACTACAATATATCACACACTATACAATATGCCATGCACATCATGTTCTAAAATATATCAGGTATAGACTATATCACACACTACAACATATCACATACTACATGTAGAATATTTTATATATTACAATATGTCACACAGTACATGTATAATATGCCACTGTGCTAAAATATGCCACATACTTGAATATGTCACTGTACAAGAATATGTCAAGAATTACAATTTGCCACTCACTAGAAAATAGAACAGAGGTAGAGTATGTAGAATACTTCAATATGTCACCGTGCTAGAGTATGTCGCGTACTTCAATATGTCACCGTGCTAGAGTATGTCGCGTACTCCAATATGTCACCGTGCTAGAGTATGTCGCGTACTTCAATATGTCACCGTGCTAGAGTATGTCGCGTACTTCAATATGTCACCGTGCTAGAGTATGTCGCGTACTTCAATATGTCACCGTGCTAGAGTATGTCGTGTACTTCAATATGCCACTGTGCTAGAGTATGTTATACGTCAATATGTGTCACACTATAAATACGTCACAAGTTTCTGTGTTCTTAACTGAATGTCTTTAAATTAGGAGAGTATACACGAAAATCTTCAATAACAGAACTCTATGTGTGTTAATGATAAACATTCATGTTAGAAAAGATACGAATGTTTTTGCAAATTAATCGGCCTAAAAAGCCGACATTAAGGTGCACCAGTCTATCTAAATATAGTATAAACGTTGTCGTTATCAAAGCCTAGGTACTACAAATATTTTTTTAATAATTGTTTTAAATACAAGTTAAACATCTGAAGCGGTCATGTTGCAAATAATTAAAAAAAAATATATGAAACTTGAGCGTTAAATTTCCATATAGTTAACTGCAGAACTTATAAGCTCTTGGACAAAAAATGCGGACAGGCAGGTATGTCCCAGAGAGCTACAGTTCTGCAGCTACCGTATAGTAAGTTAGTGTGATTTGTCTGTATTATTAGTATAAATACACTGAAAGAAGCGAAAAGTCCTTTAAACCTTTCAAATACTGGTAGAAGACAAGCAATAAATACGGATCGAAAACGGGATTGAATTTACATCTTAACTAGAACATGTACTTGTTAAGAAAATAGAAAAATAAGGAAAAGAGAAAATAGAAAACAAACCAACAAACGACAACTAAAGTTAAACTAAATGCACCAACAATATACTCGCTAGACAATCTTGCCCTAGTATAAAAGAACACGTGCACCTTGTTTTGGGATTGTTTTTGACAGATCGTTTTTTAAAAAGAAATTAGTCCTGAAAAATGTACGATGCAAGGCAATCCAGAATATAAATTTTGATTTAAAGAAAAATGTCTAGAAATATAATACCTCCACTCACAGCACAGGAATTAGCTCATCAGTACATGTATGCACGTGTATATATCTTTTTTTGGAGTTCTTCAAAGGTCCTGTATGTGTCCTTGTTGTAATTTTTAACAGTCTATCTTCCTGCAGCTAAAGAGGATATGACTAAGATATTCATAACCCACACCCACCAATGGGGAAAAGAAATGTATAAACAGATGCTCGATTTTGAGAAATCCTCCTACATAGAACTG